TATATATTTATATATATATGTATATATTTATATATATATTCATATATATATATATATATATATATATATATATTATATATATATATATGTATGTATATCATGTATGCATGTATAGTGTATCTAATGAATATGTACACACACACCACACACCACACACACACACACACACACACACACACACACACACACACCACACACACACACACACATATATATATATATATATATAAAATATATATATATATATATATATATATATATATATATAACATATATGTATACATACATACATATACAAATATATATATATATATATAATATATATATATATATATATATATATACATATATTACACCCACACACACACACACACACACACACACACCACACACACACACACACACACACATATATATATATATATATAATATATATATATATATATTATATATATATATATATATATAGCATATACATGCATATATAAATATGCCACACACACACACACACACACATACACACACACAACACACACACACACACACACACACACACACCACACAACCACACACACACACACACACACACACACATCACATACACACACAACCACACACACACACACACACACACACACACACACACACACACACACATATATATATATATATATATATATATATATATATATATATATATATATATATATATATATACATATATATATATTCATATAATTATATTATATATATATATATATATATATATATATATATATATATAATGTATATATAATAGTGTGTGTGTGTGTATTGATACATATATTAATAAATGCATTTGTGTACATATGCATATATTGTAGTATTAGTAAAGTTATGCTTTCGCTTTCTGCTTCTCATCCTCTGTTCTGTAGAGTATCTGAACTTTGTATAGAATGTTGATGTTTGTCTGTCAGAATAAAGATATCCTGAACTTTTGTCCTTTCCGTAGACGTAGAATAAAGTGTTGGGTGACTTAGATAACAGCGAAAACAAAACACTTGTATGTTTAAGTACAGAAATGTCTATAAATATATTTTGTACCAATAGTCTCCGAGAGAAAGCATTTATAGGGAAAGATATTTTTATGTGAAATGTTTATTATATTTTCTTCCATATCTTGGTACTTTGTAGATACTACGAAAGAAGATTTATAGAGAATAAATATATATATTTTTTTCTCCTCAATATCTTTTTTAGATGTAGTTTTTTTGTGCCATAAAAATAAGCCTTTTTATATTGATTATTTTAATAAAAGACTTTTGAAGTATTTAGCCTAGTCTTATTTTGCGTTCCTGAAAAAGTAAGTTAACAGAATCAAACAAAAATAAAGATGATTTCAAAATAATAAATATAATTATGGAATCAGTCAAGTCACAACTGATAGTAATGATGATGACAATCAAAATAATAACCTCAATATTATACATAATTTTAGTAACTGTGGTAATGACAATAACATCACTGATGAGTGTTCATAAGGGCGAAACACTGGTAATTAGGTAATGGTAATAATATAACAATTTCCTGTGGGTAGGGGGCTGTGAAAAGAATACTCACCAGCCTGCTCTTGGCCAGTGCGGTAGTGTATGGCCCAGCGCGCTCTGGGTCAGCGTGGTAGGGTATGGCCCACCCTCTCCCTCACCAACTTGCTCTGGGCCAGCGTGGTAGGGTATGGCCCACCCTCTCCCTCACCAACTTGCTCTGGGCCAGCGTGGTAGGGTATGGCCCACCCTCTCCCTCACTACCCTCAGCCCCACCCTCTCCCTTACCAACGCTCTGGGCCAGCGTCCCACCACCAACTTGCTCTGGGTCAGCGTGGTAGGGTATGGGTATTACCACCCTCTCCCTCACCAACTTGCAGCCCCACCCTCTCCCTCACTAACTTGCTCTGGGCCAGCGCGGTAGGGTATGGCCCACCCTCTCCCCATCACGATACATGTCTCAAACAACATTATAGAACATTGGACGCAGAACTACTAGGAAAAGTCTGTTTAAGGCCGATGTACAACAACGGAATATAAAAAAGGATGAGAGAATAGGATAGAATAGAGAAATAACAATAATGATCAATGGAAGAACACTCTACCGCGTTGATACTAATGGTAGAAAACCCCACAATGCACAAACTAGATTTATTGAAATAAGTGAGACAACAGTTTCGGAATCTGTCTCACTTATTTCAATAAATCTAGTTTGTGCATTATGGTTTTTTTTAACCATAATGATTTAAAAAGATTAGTAATGATGGTGCAGATACTGAGTCATTATGAAGGTGACGACTATCATAAAAAACATGATTTTGTGATGGTAATGAAAATGAAAGCGAGAATTACACTACTATTAGTTGAATAGTATTATGGTTTTAAATAATATTATAATGGTCATGATGATCGCTATGTCAATGAAATGTTGATGATACTATGATATATATGATAGAGATGTAAATAACAACAGAAAATTGTAGAATTATAGATTTACAATAATATTAGCGTTACTAGTACAAATGATAACGATAATGATAATAATAATAATGATATAAATAATTATGATGATAATGATGATAATAATAATACGATAATGACAATGGTAATAACAATAACAGTAATAATATAAATTATTCTCAGTCTCTCTTTATCTTTATGTCTATACCTCCCCACCTCCCTCCCTCCCTTTCTTTCAACCTCCCACTCCTCTCTCCTTCACTCCTTCCCTTCTCTCCCTCAACCCACGCCCTCCCCCTCCTCTCCTTCCCTCCCTCCTCCCTTCCTTTCTTTCTACCCCCCCCCCCCCCCTTCTCCTCTTTCTATCTCACATGCGCCGAGTATGAAAACATCATGACGTCACAGATCGGTTGCGCGCAGGTACGAGAAGGCGAGAGTGGCAACAGACCCGCGAGTATTAGAACGGAACGAATAAAAAACCACCTTATTAACTCTGCGGTAGCGGTTTCGTACAGCTTTATGAGTCTGTGGATATGATCAAGGATCAGATATATGCAAGACGTTTTATATATATATATATATGCTTGCTCTATTTTCTTTAATTTCATTCGGAGTGGATACTTTCTAATGTTTATTTTCGTCGCGTTTTCTTTCACATTCCGTTTTCTGTGTATTTATTTGCGTTGTCTCGTTTTCTCTTTCTCTCACGTTATTTATTTTGTCTTTTGAAAGGATTGCACAAATAGTCAGAGTTATATAGAGTAATGATGATAACAGCAAAAACGACAGTGACGCTAACAACACTAATAATGAACATAATGATGGTTATAAAACTAGTGAAAGAAGATCAATTGAGTTAAAAGTAAACAAAACGAAACTAATAGACAGAAATAGTAGCAAGAAACCGTAACATATATACCAAATAACAATCATGATAGCACAGTGAAGAATGCTGACAGCAATATGATAACAAAAATTATGTTTAACACGTAATTCATGAATATAGTGATAGTAATGATGATAACCACAATTACAAGCATAATGATTATGATAAGTACAACTGGATGTGGTAATAGTATCATTACTATCATTATTGATATCATTCATTGATCATTGTTGTTGATTTTATCATCATGATTTCATAAGTTCCCCTATTATTATTGTTAGTAATAGTTAATGGTAATGATGATAATATTGAAAAATAAGAATGATAATGGTAATAATAGTTGCTATTGTTGCCATATTATTATTTATCATCTATTATTATTATCATTATTATCATTATCATTATTGCTATTATTTATTTTCACAATTAAACATTATTTATTATCATTATGTGATGTAATGAAACAACAGGCCATGATAGTAATAATCATAATGATAAATCTTTATTATTCATTATTGTCTCACATAATCACCTATACTATAATCATCATTATCATCATTATTGACTGGTCATTGTTATTCATTATTATCATTAAAGTTATTATTTAGTTTAGTGCTATTACCATTGATACTGTCATTATTATTATTCATTTTATTATTATCATTCAATTTACCATTACTATGAGTGCCATTATTATTATTTGTTATATTATTGTTTTCTGATTATAATGACTATTATCATTAATATTGTCATTATTATCATTATTATTATCATTATCATTTTTGTCATTATCATTATCATTTTTATTATTATCATTATCATTATCGCTATTTATATCATTGTTATTATCATTATTTTGTTGTCAGTATTATCATTCATTATCATCATCATTATTCATTTTTTACCAATACTGTTATTATTATTATTATTTATCATTATTTTGTCATTATTATTGCTATTGTTACCATTATCATTATTATCAATACATCTTTTTTATATCATTGTTATTATCATTTCCGATTATCATTATTATCATTGTTAGCATTATCATTATCACCATTATGATTAATATCAGTACTATCATTTCTTGCATTATTATTATATAATATTTTCTAATTATTGCTATCATTATAATCATCATTTATGACTACTACATTATCATCATTATTATCTATGACATTTATTATCCAATTTCATTTTTATTATTATTTATTATTATTATTATTTATTATTTATTATCTTATTATTATTATTATTATTATTTATTATTATTTTACTATTATTTCATTATTATTATTATTATTATTATTATTATTATTTATTATATTATTATTATTATTTATTATTATTAAATTATTGTTTATTATTATTATCATAATCATTATTATTATTATTAATTATTATTATTATTATTTATTATTACTATTATTATTGTTATTATCATTATTATCATTAACGTTATTGTACTTATTATCATTATTATCATTATCATCGTTATCATTATTGATACATACGCATATGATAACACAATGGAAACGTCTATCACAAATAATGAACAATACCAAATACTTAAACAATGATGATAACAAACACAAAAAAGAATAACAATAACAGCAAAAATCCGCCAACAG